TCTTAGCAAAGATGCATATCATCCTACATAATAAAAAAGTTACCAGATATTTGAAAAACACTAACTATAATTGAGAAAAAAAGCTCTATTTCCTCACTGTGTCTGTATGGCTTGATACAGGGACACCCAAGAGAAAAATATCACGTGAATAAGTGCCACCTTACTAACATACACTCTGACACCTTAAATGAAAACAAAACAAAAAGCCAACAAACAAAAATAATATTCTCCTCTGCTCAGCCATCATCTCTCCAAACTTTTGAGGCTGAAATAGACATTCCATGCTATAAGCCAAATGACAAAATACACTTTTGGTTATCGTGCCCTTTCCCCTCTCTGTCTCAGGTCTGGCATGAAAATTCTGCTTGAAAATGTCTTAGGAAATCAGTGATATATCAAGTTCACTACTTTTCATTGTTGTTAATGTTTCACTCATTCTGTATTACTCCTTCAAATAATAATGCAAATGACAGCATTTTAGCACTTTGATCTAAGTTTAAAAATTAAATGCAACAAACCTGCTTAGAACACTTAGAAGGGAGATGAAGAGACAGATAAAATATAGTTGGAAGGTAATAAATCTGAGCTCTAACAAGTTATATGGTCTTCACTAACTCATTTAACCTCCCTTTTATTTTGCCCCTCTTTCCTTTGTAGATCTTCCCATCTATGAAACATGGGTTAGGATTTACATTATCTTTTGCAACATGTTATAGAAAACAATTACATGCAGGGCACCACAGAATTTCTAAGTGTTGTTTTTGAGAATTACCACTGAGCTTCTGAAAGCTGAATATCAACCTTTTGTCTTTGCTCTCAGTTAACACCATTTCCTTGTTCTCTTTTCATATCTTTGAGATGTCAGGGAGAATAATAACAACAACAATAAAAACAGCCTTAGAAATCACCTAGCCCAACTTCTCTGCAATTAACAGAGACAGCTAAGATAGGTTAAGTTGCTCAGACTCCTGTCTAGTCTGACCTTGAATGTCTCCAGAGATGGTGTGTGCTGTACCCCTCTCTAGGCGATCTGCTTCAGTGCTTTATCACTTCTTACAAAAAACTCCTTCCTTATACCAGTCTAAATCTCCCCTCTTTTAGTTTAGAACCACTTCCTCTTGTCATATCACAATAGATCCTACAAAGAAGTCTATGCCCTTCTTACAGCCCCCCTTTAGATACTGAAATGCCAATATCTGTTCACTTCAGTCTCCTCTTCTCATGGCTGAACTGTCCCAGTTCTCTCAGCCTGAAATTTGAACTTAGAGACCAATTTACTTGAAACTGCCCCCATCTTTATCTATCCCTAGATCTAGAGTCATTGAAAAAAGAGAGCTGGTCTGCATCCAAATGAAAAAAGTGAGACTGTCTGCCAGCCTTCGCACTAAGTGAAATGAAGTTCATTGAATGAAACAAGGCTGTGAACACTAAGTTTATTTGTGGGATTCTTTTAATTTGTTTGTTGTTTCTTGTTTGTTTGTTCTTAAAAGACAAAAGTATTACTAAGTTTTTGTGTCATTCCAATGCTTTCCAGGAAGATAACACTCTAGCAGGGAAACACTGATGAAACTAAAGAAGACTAAACAAACCAAAATAAATGCACAAAAACACACTCTTTGGATGTTTGCTTGGTTGTATAACAAGAAAATATGACCAAACATCTAAAAAGGATATTAACAGACTCGTAAAGTTATACTTCAGTTGCATCTCTTTTTGCCTGTGCATATCTATGCATACTTTAATTACATGGCTAAGTACAGATTTTTTAAAAATTCAATACTGTAGCATATAGTCCCCAGTTTTAAGTATTTAGTCATTTAAAGCTATTCTGAACTATTATTTTGTTTGTCTAAATAGATTCCATCAAAGTCCTTTATATGGAAAATACAGAATAAGGCATTTTACAAGACATATTAAAGAGAAATAGTAAACAGCTTTTGGAAAACAGAAGACACTTATCCTTCCAGCTAGTTCAATATCATAGTTAACTGCCTCACCTCCCACATGGCTCATCTGATAGATAAAAGGGTCTATCTAAACAGGTAAATGAGCTAAACAGTTAAATGCTTCAGCCCTCTTAGTGAATATAACATATGCTCTGCTGACAGATTGAGAGAAATTGTGTATGAATCAGTTGACAATCTGGTTATATGCTAAGCACCTCCCAAAAGACACTCAAGATTTACTCAAGTTTCAACCTAGAATGATTAAAATTTATGCTATGGATAGAAAAGACCAACTTGGAAAAAAAAAAAAAAAAGAGAAAACAAAAACAAGCAGTGGCAACAAATCTCCGTCATCCCTCATTCCTACAGGTCCTCCTCAAGAGGTTTCTCCAGAGAAACTGAAGAAACAGGCCCTTGCTCCCTCAAGAACATGAATATTTTTTACAAAACCAAAGAAAGCCCCCACCACTCAGAATAAATAGTTTTCAATATGTACCTTGCAGTATATGCCCTGGTGTAGACAAGAAGTCTTAGTATGAAAACATTTAAAATTATATTTTAGGCTGAAAAATATTTTAAGCATCTCATCTATCTGAAGCAAATAGGAATCGTATTATATTTTAAGAGCAATAGGATTTTAGCCCACATGTTAAAGTGATTAAAGTGTCAAAGTGTATGTACCCAGGAGGACAGAATTAATGCCAAACATGGAAATAACATTGGTATTTCATTACCAAGGTTCCACCTTCCAGGGTATGCAGTCAGAAGGGCATCCCACAAAGCATCCTGAACTTCTGTTCAGGGAGCGCAGGACTGACCTCCCCAGGAGCAGAGCACTCTGCAGAATACAAGGCAGTCTGACTGCTGTCTCCACTTCACTTGATCAGAGACATATTATGCAGGCTCTTCACTTTCCTCACCAAGGGGGGAAAAAAAAACACAACCTTTCCTATCCAAATCTCAGTCTCGCCAGTCCCTAAGCTGAAACATTTGAAACAAGGACAGCAATATTTTTAGGAGGGGAAAGTGACTGCTGCTCACTTCAGAGCGGTGAAGTGAGCACATAATATGTTAACACAGAAAGAAAATCACTTCTTCACCTCTTTGCTCCTCTGCATGGGAATGCAGCTTTGGTCATGATTGCACCTCAGGAATCACATAGTAAAAAGCCTCTCCAGTGTGAAGGTTAGGAACTGGGCATGTCTTATCTCATAAGATGCTCAGCAAGGGCTCTGTTTCCAGGAAGAAGGGTTTCCTTTTGCAAGTGCAGATTTATGTCTGCTTTTCCTATAAAATGAACTGCTGGTACAAATGCAAGTTCTTGAGCCATGAATTCATACTGCTGATTTAAAAAAAAAAAAAAAAAAAAAAAAAAAAAGCTGGGTAACATTGGGTACAGGATGTTAAAAAAAAAAAAAAAGACTGCTTGTTTTTCAGAAGATATCTGCTCATAAATGTTAGGACATCTGTAAAGGACAAGGAAAGAGCAGACTGTGAGGCTAAAAATAACCACATGCATGAAAATATCGTGTACTCTAGCACTATCACTGTACATTTGGCCAAAATACAATAATCATATGAATATAAGAATTGCTATAAAAACAGATTTCTTTCAAATACTTAGACATTTCCTTTCCAGGAGAGAAATTCTAATTTGTAAGGCACATATATTTTTTCCGTCACCAAGAGGGAATGCCAAAATGTGTCATTTTCCAGAAGCACAAGAGAAGTTCCAACCTGAAAATGGTTTTGCCTGAAAGGCAAAACTTACAAAGCCAAGTAGTGGCTGCATGGCATCAAAATGAAAACTGCTACATACTCTCCAAATTAACAGAAATATTTGTGAGCCTTGCAAGGGGAGATGATTTTTGATTCTAGCACTTATTTCTAAGGTCTCAGTACTGTGAAGTTGTAGCCTTAGTTCACAAAAGCACCTAAACACAACCATAGTTTTAATCACGACAGCAGATCCCCATTCAGCTCGATTACTCAGATGGCATGATTAAACTCTAAGTGCTTAACTACATTAACACAAACATCAAGGTTTTTTCTCAGTAGGATGAAATAAGCATGCTGAAATTCCCAGCACTCATACATTTGACGCATTTGAATTCAGATTACTTCAACTATTTTTCTGCAAGCATGCCATTTTGCCAAAAGCTGTCACTCCTGTGCTTTCTATGCTTTTGCTCTGTTTTAGTGAGAAACTCTATTTATTGATTCTGATATCACATAGAGAAATGAGTTTTTCTTTCACTAAGATGATTACACAAAAACCTTACATAGAAACACAAGAGGGTGGGTTTTCTTTTTTTTTTTTTTTACTCCATAATTGCTGAAGGAAGCACACTGCTCATCAACACAGCACAGTGAATGAGCTAAGTCTCGGGTTCACAGCTGTTCTCAGTGTGCTCCACATGCAGCTACAGATGCTGACAACAAGCCATTTGGGATGCCCTGACACAAGGGCTTGTTCTGTGCTGGTCTGGTGCCCATCAGAGAGTGAGCAAAGCCACAGGGCTGTACTGTCCATGGAGGGCAGCAGGCCCCTGAGGTACTATTCTGCCAGACAAGCAGAGCTGCAGATGTGCCCTCCTTTCCACTGTCACACCCCCAGATGCCTGAATCTTTCTCTCTCAACCATAATACTCTCAAAAAGCAAAACAGCAGCTGTTTTCTGTGGATAGCTTTTAGTCTTTATGAAAGGATATTTTTATATTTCTCTATTCCCACACAACAAAATATAACTAACATTATTAATAAAATACTGCCATTGTATCAGTGATGGTTAAATATTATCATCACTGTATTCCTTTAAACAAGTATAGACAACATATAAAGCTCTTAGAAAATTACGAGGAGTCAGAAACATAATGCATTTCTACTTGGAAGTGCTAAAAGGCTTTTTGTCTTTGTTTTTCCCCAAATATATAACTTGGACCCATCTCAGTGTATTTCAACCATACTGACTTAGTTGCAATTTCCAGGTTACACTTTATTATTTCATTGAAAGGCAGGCACCTGTACCTTCCAAAGTTTCCTTAAATCCCCTACCTTTCCTACATAGAGTGGGTCAGAGCCCATGTATTCTTCCAGCACAAAGAACTGATTCCACACCCAGCTGCGTTTGGTTCTTGTCCTCCCAGACTGAAAGTAGGGCTTTGACCTGGACCTCGAGGGTTCAGCTTGATTCATCCCAGAAAGACACAGGAAAAGAGCTATTATCTGCAACAAATGGCAGAACTCCACTTTGCCCAACTTCATCTTTTTTTTTTCCTCCCGTGTAAGAAAAAACCTTGATGAGAATGGGCACAATTCCAGTTGTCTCTGCAGCTCTTGCCTCCGGCAGGGTGTCAGCTGGGAGTCCAGAGATAATAATTTATGGAGTAGTTGATTGGGAGAGGTCACCACTGCTGAGCAGTCTTCACCAAATAAATGGCATAACAGGTACCTGTTGGGGAAGAAAAAGCAAGAACTGTTGTCAGAACTTTATTTTATTTAAGAAAGCAAATTCTTTGCCACATTCACTTAATGCAGGAATGTTAATTTGTGATTTTTCTAATTATCAATACCTTTGAGTTTACTATTAAGACTCGGAGTTTAGACTGTGTTGCTTGGATTGCATTAGTACTGCTGATAAATCCGTATTTGTAGCTATAAAATTTCCTTATGTATGTTCTTTCTGTATATCTGTTTCCCCAGGACAAAAGCTGATTTTGTTTTCTATTTAAAATAAGCAAAACAAGTGTAATTATTTTGCAGTTATTTGTTTTGTCTTTTAACTCCTCTGCCTCCTATACTCAGCTTTACTTGCCATTACCACCACAATTATAAACCAGCTACAGGCAGGAAGCTATATTAATGGAAAGGACATATGCTAGCTTAACTCTCTTACTGGAAAGTAAAATAACAGAGTATAAAACGAAACAGAACAATCTAATTGATTCTTAGTCACAGTAGACCAGATGTTTGGATTTGTAGAGACCTGAATGTGACCAGCTCAAAAGCTCTGAGAGCTACCAAGTCATTTTTTTTCTACGTGCATTCCTAAAGCATAAGAGGTGTGTTAGACTAGATTACGTGCTTATGCACATGCATGATCAGAAAACAATTTGATTTTATATTTTCACTGCTAACTTAATTTAATGACTAATCATTTTTCAGCAGTAACACACAGAAGTTTTATCCTTCTGTGCATCATCCTGATCATTTAGTAACTGGTGGAATTCAGTAAAGATTAAAAAACCCTCTAACACATTAAATTAGTTATTACTGGTTCCTCTTACAGTTAAGAACATCCTCCAGCTGACTAATGATATATTAATATAAGGATTATGAAAGCACACATTATGTTAGTCAGAAGGAAAATGCAGCTTTGCATTTTAGGGAATTCACCTGCGTTAAGACAAGTAAGCAATTCTCTCTGAAATAGGCATTCTTCTCATCTGAGCAAGCAGTGAGGCAGATGAGAAGTATTTAAGAGCTGCCAAACACAAGGTGTAAATGAGGATGAAATTAAAACGCATAACAAGGCTTTCAGTTAAAGTGAACTGTTGCCATTTAGGAAGTAATGGAAGAATGAAGACTGCCTCCTTTGTTATATTGTATTTATCTAAAAAGGGGAGAGATTAAATAATGTACGCATTAAATGTTCTTCGATTATTATATTCCTAGCCATTACTATTAAAACTGACTGGAATGCGATCTCTGATATCTGTTTTCAGTATGTCAAGCTCTTTAGCTGCAGAACTATGTGCTGCCAAAGCACCTAGAGGGCACAAACATGAAACAAATAAAAAGCTCTTCTGATTATAGACTGTATTTAAAGCCTTTTTATAATAATCCCCTCTGTGGTACTGCCCTGCACCAGAAAGTCTTTGCTTAGAGACTAGTGGGATAAACCACAAACCCACGGAGCACGTATGCTAAGCAGCAGCAGCAATTTGAAAGCTTCCATATGTGAAAATCTAGTGTCTCCCCACAGGCAAAACAAAGAACAGGAAATACCTTACCAAAAGATCCTAATTTCCAAAAGGTGATGCTACAGTTAAAAGAGGCTCCACTCCAACACACAGCAAGATTCTTTTCCTAGCAGGATTAACATGCAAGTGTAGCAGAGTCCAGTTTAAAATGATTCATCCCAAATAGTCATAGCTCAGTTTTGGTGTGGGCCATTGGGTCAATCATAACCACATGACATTGTAATTACTAGAAGGACTACTATAGGTACCAAGGAGAACATCTTTGCACTCCTAGTGCTACTTGCAGTTCCTTCCATCCCGCTCGGGTAAGAAAAGCATTGCCTGCAACAGGGGCTGTTTGCCCACCTCTTCATTTTCCCTCTCTGCGTCTAAGTTACATTAGGTTCAACACATCTGATATTGATAAGCTATCAGTTTATTTCAAAGAGGCAGCAGATTGTTACTTAACAGAGATAAAAATATGAAATGGATTTTCTTAAGAAATGTCAGTAAAACATTTACAATATGTTAAAGTCTTTCCACTAAGCAGTTTGAAATGTCTTGTTCTTGCTCTGAGCAGACATATTAAACCTAGAATCACTCTAACCTTTATCTTGAACAGTGTTCTCTTATATCCTTTCTTTAACACCTGCAGGGAAGTATGAAAGCCACCATATGGAGTGCCATGGTCCCTAGCCACACACCACAGCATGGAACTGAAAAACGCACCCAAAATACCAACTGAAAAACAGTCCATATGCTAGACAGCACAATACGATGAAAAGCAGAAAATTCACACCCCCTGGAAAAAAATATATATACATATTGTCATTTACTCATTCTAAAATCCTTTCATCACACAGTCTCCAGAATCCCAATTATTTTTGTTTGTCTATCTGGCAGCACACTTCTCTGAAGTTCTCTTCCCTCTACTCCTTCCCTTCTTCAGAATAAATCTTCCAGTATTTCTAAATCTCTTAGAGTTTTTATTTTTTTTAAAGGAGGGTGGCAAGAAATGCACAAAATCTTTTTTTTATTTGGGGAAAAAAATACTGAAGAATTTAATAATAATTCTTCATATTGATAGATATTTTAGATATATTCATATTGTATACATTTATATGAAGTGCATATTGTTATATGTAAACAAAAGAAAATATGCTTGTTCAAGCTTAGCTAGCACTTCAACATCACCTTCTCTGTGAAGTGCACAAGTATAAATACGTAATTCACAAGAAACATCACAGCATTCACGAAACTGAAAGGAAAGCTAAAATGTTGGTGTTTTTCTCCTTATCAAGGTATAAATTTAAATCCAGGAGCACTTGCAGTAACAGATATGACTAGTAATGACAGCAGCAGAGGGGATGGAATTCTCTGATTTAGGTCCTTTCTCTATTATCTCTATTTACAAGCCTGAGTATGAAGTAAACACAAAACTGACCTGCAATTACTTTGTGTTTAAACATTCTCTGTTATTAAATGGTGTCCTGTTCTGCACAAATGAACTAAAAATATTTGCACTTGCAATTAATGTCATTCATTAGTCTAGTATGTTATTTCACATTTATGTAAAGTTACTTCTCTCCTCAAATGGGCCAAAATGCAAACATGTCTCCTCAGGATTTGCCTTCTTAAAGAGCTATTGGAGTTCTAAAGCTTAGATGAATTTCACTAAGCTCTACTTTCCACATATAAGCTTGCATTCCCTATTTACTTTGCATATAGCCCTGACATTCACAAATACAAAAAAAAAAAAAAAAAAAAAAAAAAAAAAAAGAAAAAAGTAAAACTGTATAATTCAAAGAGTATGTTTTGTGATCTGGACTATACGTGTAGTGTCTTTTGCTCTAACAGTAACTTGCTAACTGAACAGCTACAGAAATACCACCTCATTCCACACCCTCTACCAAAAAAAAAAAAAAAAAAAAAAGTCATTTAAAAATATTCCTCAAACATCTACTCTTTCATGCTTTTAAATAGCTGCTTGTTTTATAAGACATTATACTGAATAACGTATATCCGAAAAAGTAATAAACTCTTAATTCAATATAAACCATAAAATTTACATTTTCTCCCATCTGTTGTATAAAAATTGGGCTGTGTTTGACCCATAACCTTGTTGCAGAAGTTCTCTGGTGAACACTGCTACTCTGAAAAATGTTACTACTCTACTTCACCAAAACAATCTGCTAGAGTCAAAAAGACACCATTATGCATGGTCTCCACGGGGCAATCTTGGTATGATGAAAGCATTCAGATCATGAATAAAATCCTCAGCTTTAAGGAATAATTCCCCTTGTTGCTAGCAATTAAGGATCAGTTACACCCACTGAAAATCCTTCTGAATATTTTGTTTCATTTCATAAATTCTAAAACAACACAACAAGACTAGTTCTGGTTATCTGAATGTAGCCATGAGCCTCAGTAGATATGGACCAAAGAGGTCTTCAGTCTCCTACATGTCCTTGTGGAAGTCCTCTTTCCCCACCACTGAAACTCCTGCAGCCCTGAAGGGCCTTTGGTGAAGGTTCATGATGCTTTTCCTTTCTTTTTTTCACCAGCTAATATTTGCAGTCAAAGTACAAATTCCTACAAACTTTCACTCACATACTGCTACTAGTGTCACAGTGCCAGTTGAACATATGAACCACGTTATTTCCTTGTCAACCTAACATAGAATTTTGTCCATCACTTTATATTGTTCTAAAGTCTTTTCAACAAAATTCTTCAGGCAGAAGCAGAAATCCCAAATCTTTTCCATTACTAAGCTCCATTGAACTGGATTACATTTGTCTGTTTTGAAAACTTACTTTCAAATCAGAGCATCCATTTAAGGTCTAACTTAGATTTTTCAATCCTCTTGCCTTCTCCACCCTTACTCTGCTCTTGTAAGATTGCTTCAGTCTTTGATACTATAACAAAATTCACTGGTCAAACTTAGCTCTCACCATCTCTGGATCTGCAGCCCAGAAAACATCTGCCAGTAAATTTTGTTTTAACTTGCCAAGAGCACACAGTTATCCTCTCCCCCACACACACTCACTTGAGATATTTAAGAAAACAAGACCCAGTGTGTTGACATAATTCTGAGGGTAATTGTTGACAGTGGATCTTGAACCAGGATCATTTAAACAAAGTCGAACCAGCAGGTAAGCCCCCTGACATACAAAATAACCTCACCAAAATATGTATGTTTTCAGATACAGTTTTACAGTGCCTACTGGAAAGGGTTGCAATTTCTGTGGAAAATTTCCTTTTAAGGAACTTATAGCAGGTCTCATAGCAATGCAACATATCTAA